AGCAGAGACATTCTTATAGGTCTTAGCAAAATAGGTTTTTCCTTGAAAAAAATGTTGGTTGGTCATGTGTCTATAAATTTTTATAAGTCTGTGTGTGAATGTATGCTTCTGCATGCCCCATTTATTCAGAGGAAGTCCTCTGTGTGGGTCTAGAGTAATTAATATAGCTCTTCGATGTGCGTGTATGTACAAGATAGTCATATTCTCATCGCCAGGCAGGGTTGAGTTATAACATCTAGACTGGGGTTTGACTGGTTCTGTACTGACATTAATTCCAGAGACCCAAAAGTCACTGTAGTTCCCTAATCAGAGTAGGTGCTTATGGAGGCCAGGTAATCAATGAAGTTTTTAGTTCAGGTTCATTTCACATAATATTTGAGTGCACTTACCCTAGATATAGATTTGCCAGCCCTGTGCACAAAGCTTCTGTCAAAACTGCAGACTTACAGAATGTTTTGTTATAGTCATGGTATTCTAAACATCATTGCTTCTACCCAAGGAACTCACTTTATAGCAAATGAAGTTCATAAATGAGTCTGTACTCATGGAATTCACTGATCGTACCCTGTTCTCCACCACCTGGCTTGATGGAGTCATGAATGGCTTTTTGAAGACAGCTAAAGTCCTAGACCCTTTAGGAATGAAGGTTTGGGTCACTCCACTAGGCAAAAAACAATGATATGTTGTGAAACTTTTCGATGACAAAAAGAACATGGACTGGGTATTGGAAAAATGAATTATAAATACCAGTTTTGAGCACATGACCTATTGTGGAAATGAGGACTGCAAATGTTACACATTTATTTTCCTTTTTATGAATAGGTATGTATGTATGTATGTATATATATATGTGTTTTCTTCCCTATCCCCTTATGCATGACATAAGATATGTTGACTTTGTATTACAGTATTTAAATACTGTTAACTCTACAACAGTAGAAGGGTGAACTTCACTCAAAGGCTTTTCATCCTCTTCTGGGGATAGGGTTGGGGTGTTTTCAGTTATATGCAGGATAATTATATCAGGTTAGGCAGAAGTATGACTTTGTTATTGTCTTTATTGCAGATCAATGCCAAGCTAACAAAGGGTGGATTATGACTTCTAGTTTTATGTGTCAACTTGCTAGTCTGTATGTGGTACCCAGTTGTTTCGTCAAACATCAGTCAAGAGGTTGCTGTCAAGGTGTTTTTTAGATATGATTAACACTTAAGTCAGTAGACTTTGTGTAAAGTTTACCCACTGCAGTGTCAGTGGATCTTAGCCAGTCACTGAAAGATCTGAAGAGAATAGACTGAGATACCCAGAAAAGGAAGAGATTTCACTTCCAGAATGCCTTTGAACTCAAGACCACAACATTGATGCCTGCAGGAATTTCTAGCTTATTAACCTTGGTTGGACATTTTGGACTTGCCAGGCTCCATAATCACATGAGCCAATTCCTTAAAATAAATCTCTCCTTTTATATATGTACTTCCTGTTGGCTCTGTTTCTCTTGAGAACCCTGACTAATGCAGGGGATGACTTCTAGAAAGTTTGACCCTGACACTTGATGAGCCACTCGCATCTGACAACTTGGGGGGCTTATGTTAGAAATCTAATTAATTAATACACATTAATTTTTGAAAGATCTCTGAAGATGTTTTCTTACCTCTTTGCAATTCACTTTATTCCATCAGCCATCAAAGAAAATTCATACAGGCAAAAGAGATTTTTTTTGAAATGCTGAAAGTTTCTGCCATAGATGATTAAGGGAGTTCTGGAATGCTTTCTGACCCTATGCATCCTGTTCTTTAAGGATGGAGTGAAATAAGAATACATGAGCTTCAGATGTGAGCAATCCCCTAGAAATGAAAAGTGACCAGTAGTTGATACCCTTGTAATATTTGGACGCGGGTGGCAAAGAGTGTGCTGGTGTTCAGGAAGTGACTCATATGTTGGAATGCCATCCTTGGACTAGGGCAAGGTAAAGAGAGCTAGCAGGAAAGTAAGGGTACTATGAGATCATCCTAAGCCAAAGTCCTGCATGGAGGGGCTAGGCTCCACTTCTGCATTCTCCTCTTTACTCTGAGGCTATTCTTGCCTGATTTAGCTAGACAATCTAGTGCCCTGTAGCGTGTCTTAAAATAATGGGTCTTAAAGAGGAGAAATTTCCTCAGTGGTCTTTCTTAAAACAAACCCAAATAAAATCATATTTGGAAAAAATTTCCTGGGTTGATCAACTGTGACAAAGCTACTGGGCAACTTTCCACATGATGCTCACAGGTAACTCCTCTCTGGGGACCACGGGCTGGTGTCTTCATTCCTATCTATACCTGATAGGGACCTCTAGATTTTGTGTTCTAGCAAATCTAATCACTAGGAAATATTCATGAGTTGTTATAAGTGGTTGGATTAGATGATGTTCATGGTTCCTTCTAACCTCAGAACACTAAAATTTCTATTTCTTTCTGTTGGAGTGGATTTATGCCCTATTTATCACTTCTAGCTTTCTCATTTCCTCTGTCATTCACATTTATATTTCTCTCTGCTCAACCTGTCCTAGTCCTACTAATTTCTATGATGATAACTATAATTTTAATTCTCACTCAACCAGGTTGTTTTACTTGCTCCTTTATAGTTACCTCCCTTTAATTTTATATACTGTTTTACCCCTGATTTTGCTAACAGAATTTCCACTTTCAACCTCTTCATTTAATCCTTTAATTTGTCAAAAATCTTTCATTTAAATCAGAATTTTCAGAGGCTACATATAAAACAACAACAAAGTAACATAAGAACTTGACTATTTTTTATTACAGTGGTCAATTGAAAGAGCCTTTTTTTGACTTAGGAAAAATATAGATGACTCATACATGAAGCAAGTGCATATAGAAGTTAAGAAAACATTATCTCTTCTTACCATTTCTAGCACTACATTTTCTGCAAATACCAGATACTTTACAATATCCATAATGCTTTTAATATAACATCATTAATTATGTTCACGAGCAATTATAAGGACCAAATTGTCTTGCTTGGTAGTGTAAAACCAACCTAGTAATCTATACAAAAATAGCCCAGAATGGGTAGTATTTGTGATAAACCAAATATTGATTGTTAGCCATCTAGATAAATTTTGAACTATGAAACTAGATGAAATCCTTTAGAAAGTGAGATGTGTGGTCTTCAACCCTCCTAAAAGTAGATGTTCACGGGAGCAGGTTAATTTTCCAGCTTAGTCTCTTTATCGAAGTGAAGCTCTTCACTATGTAGTACAAACTTCTCGAAAACAGGGATGACAAGTCTCCCCAGATAATCTGGGCTTTGTTGTAAGTAGTGGCAACACAGAGAGAACACAATGGCTCTGACCCTTTTATTTACCTGTGATGGCCTCAGAAGCCTATGTGGCTTAATGTGCTCCTACTTAAAATTGTGGTGAGTGATGGGGAGTCCTCAGAATATCAACATTAAAGGAGATTTAAACAGTTTTAAGGAAAATGCTAGGTCAATATCATTTCAGCTTTTTCATGTCTCCTTCAGTCTTTCTAATTCTTTCATAACAAAGATAACTGTGTTATGCTGAGAAGACTAGTGGTCCTTGATAAAAGAGATTTAAAAAAATTTTAATACCTTTATGCCCACTACAGCATGGTATAGGGTCAAACAATTGCTAGTTGAACTGAACTGGGAAGGATGCATTGCTTTAGGCTAGTGGTTCTAGGTTGCATGAATCCAGTGGTTCTCAGTGCTTTAGAATCACCAGGAGGTCTGCTTAAAGCACAAATAGTAGGGCTGTACTCCTAGAGTTTCTGATTCTGTAGGTCTGGGTGGCAGAGTTCCTATAACAGACATTTATGAAAAATTCTAGGTGATGCTGATGCTGTTGGTCTTGTAATGATGCTTTTGAACCACTGTTCTAAGGTGACAGTTCTCAAAGTGTTATCTGCGCAACAACCCCATCTGAAATGTAGGGGAAGTTTAAGCACACAGGCAGTCCTCCCCACTCAGCCTCTCTTATATGAACTTTATCTTTTAGAACTCAGGTGAGAAATAAATATGGATATATTTTTGCCTTCTGAACTGTGTTTTTCTCTCTGAAATTGAGGAACCAAATACGTTTTGCTTATATGGTACCCCTCATCACTCAAACTCACCATTGGCATTCTTGCTATCTCAATTCAGGATTCAGGTATACGTGGCTAATGAGTGAACATTATACAAATTTCCAGCCTCTGCCCGAAGTATACTAAGTTAGATTATTTGGAATTAGATCCTAAGATTCTACATTTCAACACTCTCAAAATCATTCTTAAGAGCGTGAATGTTGGAGAACCAAGCCTTTATGCTATATGCAAGAATCATGGCACTGGCTGGTGTGGCTCAGTGGATTGAGCACTGGCCTGCAAACCAAAGGGTCACCAGTTCAATTCTCAGTCAGAGCACATGCCTGGGTTGTGGGCCAGGTCCCCAGTAGGGGGTGTGTGAGAGGCAACGGCACATTGATGTTTCTCTCCCTCTCTTTCTTCTTTCCTTCCCCTCTCTCTCTTCTTTCCTTCCCCTCTCTCTATAAATAAATAAATAAAATTTAAAAAAGAATCATGGAATTATTTTGAATTTTAGTAACTAAAAACGTAACTGTGGTGTCATATACTTATGAGGTTTACCTACAAAGCAATTTAGACTTTAGACCAATAGAGTGGTATAGTGTGGGATTCTATAGTATCTAGGATTATAATCTTGATCTTAAGAAAGAAGAAACATTGTATTTCTGGAAAAAGACCTCCAAAATTTCTCCTACCTAGTCATAGTCCCAAAGCATGAATAGATCTAGCCTCATTTGGAGAGAACTGCTCAGAAAAATTAAAGATAATAAATAATTAGCATAGCCAACTTTATTTATGAAATAAGGAAATAAAGGTTTACTTCTCTTTAAAAAAGACAAGAAATAATTAAAGTTCAAAAAATACTTATAGGCACTAAAGCCTATTAAAAGTTTCAATGCTTTGCAAGCTATTTCCAGTTAGTAGGCTGAACCCAATGAAGACTTTGCTTTTCCAACCACCTTTTTGAATGCACTCTTGACCTCTTTGTTTCTTAGGCTGTAGACCAGTGGGTTCAGCATGGGGATGATCATGGTGTAAAACACAGATGCCATTTTGTCTGTGTCCATGGAATGACTAGAACTTGGCTGTAAGTACATGAAGATGATTGTCCCATAGAAAATGGAAACTGGCTAAGTGGGATGCACAGGTGGAGAAGGCTTTCTTCTGTCCATCAGTTGAGTGCATCCTCAGAATTGCAATGAAAATGAATAGGTAAGAGCTCAAGATAACCAAGAGAGTGAAAAAGACATTGAATGCTGCCAACGTGAAGAGCACAATCTCATTTGTGTTGATGTCAGAGCAAGAGAGAGCCAGCAGTGGGGGAATGTCACAGAAAAAGTGATTAACAACATTGGAATGACAAAAGGAGAGGTGGAAAGTGAGGGCAACATGGATGGAAGACTCAAAGAGTCCACAGATGTAGGGTCCAGTGACCAGTAAGGCACACACAGTGCTTGTCATGGTGGTGGCATAATACAGGGAATTACATATCGCCACGTGGCGGTCAAAGGCCATTGAGGCCAAGAGGAAACTTTCAATAGTGGCAAAAGCTGCAAAGAAAAACATCTGAGTAGCACATGCATTGTATGATATCATCTTATCTCCTGTGAGAAACCCCACTATTACCTTGGGAGTGACAGCTGAGGCATAAACACAGTCAACCAGGGAGAGGTTACTGAGAAAAAAGTACATGGGAGTGTGGAGTCGAGAGTCCAACAGAATCAACATGATCATCCCCAGGTTTCCAATTAGTGTGATGAGATAGATGAGGGAGAAGATTATGAAGAGGGGGATCTGCATCTCCAGGGCATCTGTTAACCCCACAAGAATGAACTCAGTCACCTCTGAAATGTTCTCCATGAAAGTTGTTTGGGAATCACCATGAGAAACACCTATGAAAAAATGAGCCCACACAAAATAATGTTAGTTGATGATTATCATGAATATTGAAGTGTCAACCGTGTCTCTTGGTCACATATGTCAGCTTCCTGTCAAGATCAAGAGCCGTGTGCAAGTAGTGGGACTAAATGGTGGTTTGGATTGGATTGAATGAGGTTGTTCATCTAGATGAGGTACAGAAGGACACTGGAATGTCCCTGTTAACTTTGGCTAACATATTACAACTCTGGGACACATTTCAGCTTGCTTGCTGTGTGGTATATTCTATTACATAAAGCCACAGAGAACTTTTTTCACTACTTGCCATATCTTGCAAGTACTTTTGTCTAAGATATACATAAAAAGGTTAATTAACAGAAAGTAAAATATAAGAAACATTTAATTGGTCATTGGTATATGATGCTGACAAGTCCTGTCAAATGCATTTCCCATTTCTCAGTGATGCCTCACCAGCTTGTTAATAATAGCTGAAGACACACAGTGATTTGGAGCCCTGCTTTAGGGTCACCCACACTTTTCTTTCTCACTCACCAAGGTTACTATTACCACAGCTACTATTTTACCAGGCAAGAGAAACATCATGGATAAAAGCATGAAGTGGTAAACACAATTGTGTAAACAGGCAGTTATAAGCAGATAGGTATTACTGGTTGGTAAAATACATGGCACAATCAAAATCTCAATTAGGGTGTAATGTGAAAAGGTAATTGGTAGAAACAAGAGAGATACAAATTGAACCCTGAAAGAAAGAAAAAAAAATGTGTCAGGTTATAGGTATAATACAGTCATTTAGAAGAAGAGCCCAAGGTGACTGTTACTAACAAGAATATACTTTTTTTCAGTTGTACAAATGTGTCACTCACTGATTGGCAATTTAGATGGAATGCAACCTTGGGAACACTACTTAGACTCTGTGAATCTCTGTCATTGTCTATGAAATACTCAGTTCATGTACTAACCGATGTGTTATTATACAGAGCTGTAAAGATGAAATTAAATGACATGTGGAGCCTACTAACATGATGCCTGGTACATGGAATGTTAGCTCACTCTCCTCATTTTCCTCTAGCTAGTTTTGCACATAAACCAGCTCTGTGCCAGGAACTGATGTTACATGATTCCTGACTTTATAACAGGGTAGAGACAAAGAGGTATACAAATTAACCTCCCAAAGTGTTTAGTGCTATAATAAAAGTGTGTAGAAAGTGTTACACAATGACCATAAAAGTACCCAGAATATACCAGAACACCCTACTGACAATGAAGTTACTTCTTCCTGAGGCTGGTTTATCAATTCTTATGTCTCTGCTTGCCAGAGTTGCCAGAGTTGATCCAAATGCATAAACATGAATCTGGTTAAATTACTTCTTAGAAAAGGTTAATTTCTGTATTGTATTGATGTTTGAGACTGGCCAATATATTGACTAAATTTCTTATCTATACTGTTTGTAGGTACAGAAGCACACAAAACTGCTCCTTTGATCCAGCAGTTCAGAGGTGGTGTGGTGTGGGTAGGAATGTATTATAAACACAAGGCCAGTTTTAATCCTATTTCTATTTATAATCAGCTGGGTGTAGGTCTGCCAGTTGGTGGGATCTTTTTAAATTTATTTTATTTTTATTTTATTTATTTCTATTTTTTTATTGTTTAATTACAGTTATCCCCATTTCCCTCCATTGCTCTCCCCTGACCTGTCCCCCATTAAGTCCTCCCTCCCCATTTTCCTTGTCCATTGTTCCTTTATACATGTTCCTTGACTTAACCCTTCTCCTTCTTTCGCCAAGATCCTCTAGTTCCCTCATTGACTGCTATCTTGCTCTGATGTGACAATGAATATAAAAGTTCTTTGTGACAAGCATAAGAGATACTAACATTTTATGTATTTTATTTTATTACGATTATTTTTTTTACTGTGTGTTAGGCATGGTTCTAGGTGCCAGGAATATAGAAATAAGTGAAATAAATGTTGCCCACATTATCATTCATAATACGATTATTAAAAAAGTTTAAGAATTATTTGTAGTTCTTTTTGTCCTTGTGTATCCACCAGGATTGATTCATGCAAGATTCATTCTAGTGAACTGTTAGCTGCTTGACACAGAAACCTCATAAACACTTTGGGTCTATACCAGGGCCCTCTGAGTAAGTGTATGAAAGTGCATAACCAAAATCAGGTAATCTAGGCCATTACTTTCACAGACTAGTTCATCTCTTCTTGGTTACCAAAAGACATTTAGCTAACAATAATGACTGTTCAAACTTTGATATTCCTAAAGAAAATGGCTTTACATTTGAGACCCTCAAATAAATGTTGAAAGTCCTAGGATCTCTGAAATTGAGAGAGATGGTATTTGCACTACTCATGATGGTTCATTCTAAATAAAAAAAATTAGGAGGTGCAATCTCCCTGTGGAATCTAACCATCACCTGACCACTTATATAAGACCTCTGATTGCAGCGAGCATGGAAATCCGGATGCTGTAGAGCAAGCAGCATAGTAGAGTGGAAAGAGCAGTGGACTAGGAGTGACAAGACAACTAGCTAACAGGGTGTCTATGATCTAGCCATTTAATCTCTCTGGGCTTTATCTTCCTCATTTGCAAAATAAAAACTGTAGGCTCTTTTAGCACCCCTTCCCATTCTAATTGACTAGGATTGTATATTTCTTGATATTTATCTTTGTCCTAGGAGTAGACAAATGAAGCTACAAACGAAGGAGTATGGAAAACTTTCATACATAGGTTGTAGAGAGAAGTCCACATCCAGGAAAGCATCCTGGTGAAGAAACTCCTTCCCTACCTGTAGGCCTTTCTGTCATGGAACATAACTTGGGCTTGTGCTCTTGCAAATACCAAGGTGGAGACAACTACGTTTTCACACAGCAATTCTTAGGGGAAGCACTTAGTATCACATGAGTGGCTATCTCATGAGGCTTCTGATCCCAGATTGGCCCTCCTAATTTTGTACCTGACTGGAGATATCAGAAGGTAATGTTTGTATGTATTTCAGCTGAGAGTGCTTATGAAGAAATGGTGGGGGATTGGGGAGGTGATGGAAGCTTAGAGGAAAGAGCCTCCACTCATCAAATCAGCAGTGCTACAGCCAAGTTAGGTGACAAAAATTAAAACTCACTAAAATTTTTGGTTCAGGTGATGTAGAACCTCATGCAAGCTTCCTCATACCTAAATATTTCTTAAAAGCCTAGATATCTCCATAGGAATTTTTTTTCAAACAAAATATACCCATTTTTCTTACCATTACAGACTTGGCCTAGGGGTATTTGGGGGCATTCTTTTCCTTATTTTAGAACTAAGGGGATGGATCCATTCTTTCTTCTGTGTAGGCATCTCTGACCCAGAGCACCCAGCAGAATTAACTTTTATCAGTGCAGTCCAGCGCAGTTGTTGTAAGTGTGGGCTGTGCAGTCACGTGACCAGCCCTCAAATTCTGGTTCTGTCATTTGTCACAGGGTGAACTTGCTCAAGGTCTTTAATCTCTCCAAACTTGAGTGTGTCACCTAGGAAGAGAAGCATCATAATATTGTATATCTTTCATAGGAGAGTCCTAAAGGTTAAGTGAGATGACATATACACAAAGCTGAGCATGATGTCTAGCCCATGTCAAGAGATAAATAAGCATTACTATTTTAACATTAATAAAAAATGACATATCATTTGGAACAAAAATAGTGGTGCTCAAACACTACAGGTGCTGCTCTACCCATTTTCTTGCCCACTTGTAGGCAGGTACAGCCATAAACTAGTTCTGTATAATGGGCTGGAGAAGGAATGATGTTTGTCATTGCTGGGTTGATGTATAGGAAAGCCAGTGCACAACTGTTTATTGCCTCTCCCTCTGCCATGGTAACTCAAGGGGCTGCATGTTCCAGAGGCTGAAGCTAGAAGTGGCAAAGCCTCTATTGGCCTGGTGTTTGAACACACACATGGAGAGAGACCGCTGCTTTCCTGGATGACCTGGGATGCACAAGCAGTAGCAGAAGTAGGATAACTAACTGTTGGTTGTGTTAAATCATAGGACTTTGGGATTTATTTGCCCCTGCAACATGATATAGTCCTTCCTGTCTAATACAAAAACATATGTAATAAGCAATGCATGTTTTGTTGTCTGTGGGGATTAACTCATTTTCTAGAAGGTACTCTCTGATGTACAAATATTTTAATGGATGGAATTCAATATACCTACTTTTCTTTTATTGTTTGTACTTGTAGTGTTGTATATAAAGGCTTTGCCCAACCAAAGTTTACAAAGATTTACACCTATATTTCATCCTAAGAGTCTTAGAGATTCAGCTTTTACACTTGGGTTTACATTCTGAATGCATTTTTGTATGTAATATGAAAAAAGGGGTTCAATTTCATTCATTTTCTTTGCAATAGTTTTACTGAGATACAATTAACATAACATAAAATCCACCATGTTAAGTGTCCAATCAGTGTTTTCTTCACATTCCCAATGTTTTCAACCATCACAAATATCTTATTCCAGAACATTCCTATCACCACAAAAACAAACCCCATATATCTGAGTTATTACTCCCATTTCTCCTTTCCCCAATCCCTTCTATCAATAAATAATCACATTTTATTGGTTTATTTATTCTAGATATTTCATGAAAGTGACATCATACAGTATTTGTCCTTTAATGTCTGGCTTCTTTCCCTTGACATGTTTTGAGGTGCTTCAATGTCATAACATGTTTCAGTACTGTGTTCCTTTTTTATGGCTGAATCACACTCCATTGTATGGATATACCATCTTTGATTCAATAGTTTATGAATAATGGGGTCTTTTAACTTTTTGGCAATTTCCAATAATGCTGCTATGGATATTAATATACAAGTTTTTGTCTAAACATATGTTTTGAATTCTTTGTGCATGTATACCTAGAAGTGAAATTGCTGGGTCACATGATAATGCTATGTTTAACTTTTTGAGAACAGCCAAACTGTTTTCTCTCTCGGCAGCACCAGTTTTAATTCCTACCAGCAAAGTATTGAGGTTACTTGTCCATAACCTCTCCAAAATGTGTTCTTTCTGATTTCTTTTTCCACAGCCATTCTACCAGGTATAAATTGATATCTTATTGTGTTTTTTTATTTGTATTTTTCTAATAACTGCAAATGTTGTGCCTTTTTTTTCTGTACTTATTGGAGGTTAGTGTATCTTATTTGGAAAAATGTCTATTCTAATATCTTGACCATATTTAAGTTGGGCTATTTATCTTTTTAATATTGAGTGATAAATGTCCTTTATTATTCTAGATACTCGTTCTTTATCAGATATGTGAACAATGATTTTTTTCTCATTATGTGGGTGGTCTTTTCACATTCTTAATAATGTCCTTTGATGCATAAAATTTTATATTTTGGTAAAATACAATTTCTTTATTTTCAACTTAATAAAAATTTATTATTTTTTATTGTTGTTCAGCTACAGTTGTCTCCATTTCCCCACCAACAATGCCCACAGCCCAGCCACTACCACTCCCCACCCTTCATTTTATTCTTCTACAATTTCTTTATTCTTTCTTTGCTTGCTTGTGTGTTAGTGTCACATCTAAAAAATGCTTAGTTTTTCAACATAATCAACATTTGACTAAATTTGGAGAATACAGACCTAAATGAGATGACATCATTTGTCTCAAAGTACTCACTATTCAGTAGTACAGTAACTATAAATACAAACCAATATGATTAATAAGTCTCCCATAGTCATATAGAAAAAAGTGACAATATAGAGGAACATATAAAAGGGAGGTAGAAAATGAAATGGAAAGTAAAGGAAACTAAATTTTTTAATATCTATTCTGTTTAAGGCACTGTGCTATGTTTTGGTTTAATAAGTATATAATTTTGTGAGATAGGCATTATCCTTCCCAGTTGAAAGCTCAAGACATTTAATTAATTAACTTGCCCACTATCAAACAGCTGGTTGGAATGGAATTCAAAACATTCAATATGTTTTCTGTCTCCAAAACCTATGCTAATTTTATTTGTGCTAGCCATTTCAGTTGTGATTTTGAGATTGGGGGAGGATTCACAAATAAACAATTCTGATATTAAATTGTGTTAGAATGGTCTGTCAGTTTTTCTCAATATATAGCCTCTCACTACTGATTTACTTCTAACAGCATATAGACTGACTTATGGTAAACTTTCTAATATTAGTTAGTATAAATAATACTAGGTGCCACACAAGCAAACTCTAATATTTCACTGCCAAGGTCACACAGGTTGTTCAATTAGTTGTTTTATGGGTGATAATACAGTCATTCACTAACCTAAACTTTTTCTACTCAGTGATTTTTGCCGTTCTAGTGGTTTAAAACCTCTCTTTCCAGCTGATGACAAAGAATGAGAGTGACAGTCACTTCAGTGTCTCCCCATATGCCACTTGTGCCCTTCCAGCTGTTGCCCTAGTGCTGAATCCCAGAGGGAGTGAAAGTCTTAAGTCTGTTGCATGCCCTTTAAGAGGAGTCTCCTAAGAATCCTGCAGTTTCTTCCACTGCCCTAACCCCCACTGGTTTTTACAGCCAGAACTTATGGGGACTTACCTTCCTAGGGCTGGAACTCTGGGCTTGGTCATCTTCACTGCTGTTGGGATTTCTCACTCCTGAGGTATCCCTCCCAATTTATACTCACTCCATGTAGATTTGGGACCACCCATTCCGCATCTCTGCACCTGTCTGCGCATCTCCACATCTCTGCCCTTCTTATCTATTTGGGTGAATGTGGCTTCTGTAAGTCCTTGGTTGTTGGACTTCCATGTAGCTTGATTTTCTGACCATTCTTGGTGATATTTGCCTTGTAGTCCAGTTGTAATTTTTTCTGCAGTTGTTTAAGGAGGTGAGAGGTGTTTACCTATGCCCCCATCTTGATCAGAATTCTCAAGATCTTTATGAGATGTGATTTTCTTCCTCTGGACATAACTCAATTTTTCAGTTTTCCTTGGGGCTTTGTTCTAACTACTTGAATGCATTTTTTCTTATTCATTATTCTTCAGTATCACCTCTGAATCATACCAAACACAAAACTGTCCCACAAAAAATTAACAAAGCTCATACACTTGCAACAAAGGAAACCTCTTTAGTACCTTTCATTTCAGTGGAGTTCAAGTTGTTAAAAAGAGATTAAGTTTACTGAGTAACATGAATTAACACTAAGTCATTGCATGATTAGCAAATGTTTTATTAAGATTTTTTTGGAAGTGGGAGAGATGTTTTACTTGTCTTTAGTTACCTTTGTTGATTGCTGGTTGACTGCAAGTGTACAGGCAAAAAGTTTGAAGAACTTCAAAAGAAGAAGAACTGGTTAGTGTTAGTATAGAAAGTTTGTTGAGACTACTAAATTTCTGTGAAAAGTTGGGGTCTTTTTCTAGTGGATATTGGTCAGTATTCTCCCCTTGAAGTGTACAGAATTTCTGGAGCTTATTTCCACCCATACAGTTTGAAATTTCTGGAATTGTTTCAATGCACATTAAAATTATTTTTAAATCAAGTCTCAAAGCTTGATTTCTAGTGAAAGAACCAGATTAAACTAATGCTCAATAGGACATTCTGTTCAAGTTGAGAAAAATAGATGAACAGGTGAATAAATGAATTCAAAAGTTTAACGTTGATGATGACTATGAGGAACAGAGCAGATTCAGGGTAAAAAAAATCCATGGATGGGAGTGACTATTTTATAAAGTAGTCCATGGCAGTCCTCTACAACCTCTCAGAGTAGGTAACATGGAACCAGCAATTGCAAATGAGTGTGGGAATATCTGTGTAGAGGAAACAGAAAATACAAAGAAGCTGAGACAAGGGCAAGTAGTGGGGAGGAGAGAGCAATGTGGGGGAAATGAGACAACTATAATAGAACAATTAAAAAAAAAGAAACCAATGTGAGTGAAGTGGGGTGAATGGTAGGAAAGTGATAAGATATGACCTAGCTTAACAAAAGTATAAATGAGTGAGTGGCATTAACCATTTCAAAAATAATTATTATTAACTTCAGTGCAATTTTTAAAACAAAATGTGAAGAATTGGTACTCAGAGATTAAGGTTAAAATGACTTAACCATATCTCATTTATTCTAACATGGGTATTCACCTTTGGGAACTTTCACATGCACATGCTTTTTCTCCCCCAATCACTCAGCAATGACTGAAACATTAATTTATTAAGCTGTTATAATTATTTAGTGCTGAATAAAATGTGCCAACAAAAACATGCTTCATTAATTAAACTGCATTTCAAACAATTATTATATTTTTCTCCATTTTAGAATATTGGAACTATTCCTCAACAAAAGAAATAAATAACATTAGATAAACTTTTGTTCTAATATCTCAAATGTTCATTAACACTTGAGTTATATCATGGAATAAATCTAAGAGGAATGAAATAACTTATTGCAGATTCTATGTATTACAATAAAACAGAGACAGTTTTGCCTTCTCAACAACTTTCTTGAATGCACTCTTGACCTCTTTATTCCTCAGGCTGTAGACCACAGGGTTCAGCATGGGGATGACCATGGTATAGAACACAGATGCAATTTTGTCTGTGTCCATGGAATGACTGGAACTTGGCTGTAAGTACATAATAATGATAGTCCCATAAAATATGGAAACTGTAACAAGATGAGAAGTACAGGTAGATAAAGCCTTCTGGTATCCCTGTCTTGAGTGCATCTTCAAAATGGTAATAAATATGAACAGGTAGGAAATCAAGATAACAAAAAGTGCAAGAAAGATATTAAAGCTTGAAATAAAAATAAGAATCAGTTCAATGATATGCTTATCAGAACAAGTCAGAGTCATGACTGCTGGAACATCACAGAAAAAGTGATGGACCACATTGGACTCACAGAAAGAGAGGCTGAAGGTGACCCCAATGTGGATGCAGGCATTCAGGAACCCACAGACATAGCAACCTATGGCCAGACATGCACACACACCTGTTGTCATGGTGGTGGTGTAATGCAGGGGTTTGCACACTGCTGCATAGCGGTCATAGGCCATGGAGGCCAAGAGGTAATTTTCCACAGTGGCAAAGGCTGCAAAAAAGAACATCTGAGCAGCACATGCATTGTAGGAGATGACCTTGTGTCCTAGAAGAAATCCAGCCATGACAGCAGGAGTGACAGCTGAAGAGTAACACAAATCTGCCAGAGACAAGTTACTGAGGAAAAAGTACATGGGAGTATGGAGGTGAGAGTCCAGCAGTATCAACAGGATCATCCCCAGGTTCCCAATCAGAGTGATGTGGTAGATGAGGGTGAACGTGATAAAGAGAGGGACCTGTAGTTCTAGGGAATTGGTTAGTCCTAACAGGATGAATTCAGTCATTTCCGTACTGTTCTCCATGGATGTGATTTGAGAATCACAAGATATCTGTAGGAAAAAGAAAAGAACAGAGGGATGAACAAAGAATTGTTTCAGAGAAATAATGCATAGCATTATTTTGTTACAGCAATAATTTGTTTTTTAATATCCTCCATTTCTACAGCATGAGAAAGACAATGCAATTTAGTGGATAACTGATCTATACAGGAATAGGCTTTTGTAGAGGATGATTCTTCACAAATCCTTTTCCCAACTTTTTAATTTTATATATGAGTAAACCCAGTTAAAAGAAAAAGTAAGGAACTGTTCAAGGTCACATGCCTGAAATGGATTTATTGTCCAGACTAAAGTCTTTGAGTCTACTAATAGCTTACACTTCTATAGTGCTCATTTATATTCATTCGTTACTCTCATATCCTAATTAAATTAATTAGTTTTTAAGCCCATATATATACAAGGTAACTTGGCAACCAAAGTATTGAGTAATTTATTCAGGTATACATGATAATTAATAGAGCATGCTTTAGACCCAATCAGAATGGTTCCCAAACTAAATGCCATTAGTAAATTTGAATTGATTTAAAGTTTGCTTAATTTATATTTTTAATGATTGAGTCCATTCACCAAGTTTAATGTTTTGGGTTGCCCAGTAGACTAATTCACAAGTGTATGCATATAATGATGCAGTCAGATAAATGCAGTATGAGAGATAAATACAACCAACAAAAGTAACTCTAAAGAGAAGGTATAGAACTGGATATAAAATATTGGGCTTGGTGGTGATGTGCATATACTTTCCCCTATATGCCCTACCATTTATCTGGGAGATACTGGTCCTAAATGAAGTTTCTTGAGCCTCATTTTATTCATCAGTAAAATGAAGGTGATATCAGAACCTGTGTCAAAATTATTGTGAGAATTAAATGAAATAATCATGGCAAACAGTTCACACAATGGGAGGTTCAATGCATTCCTTATTTGTGTCATCTTTAGAATGGAAAAATGGTGTTTGTTGGTTTAGGAAAGATTACGTAGTAACATGGGAGGCTTAAGGTGTGCATGGCTTTAGTCTTTGATTTGCACTTTTTTACACAATGGAACCACTCAGTTTTTTTGTTTGTTTGTTTCTTCCAGTATGTCTCACTCTGTCCTACCTCTTCCATATCAGTGACTTTGTCAAGCATTTGTTGTGAGAACCCAGGGATCTCCAAGACCATTTTTTGCTTAATTCTTTTTCCATTTGATCCACAGTTTAGCTTGTGTTGAAAGACTCCTATTATATCTTAGACTCATTTTTACTGTCGTCACTTTCAACACTTAGCAAGGTCACAAAGACTGAGGGCTGAGAATTTATGTCTGCAGAGTCAACTCTAGTTCTGCAGATTATTCATGAGTAAGCACAATGTTTCAAATCTTATATACGTAATTGAAATCTTTGGAAGGACGTCCATTTTCTGATAAACTACTGTTTTCTACCATCTTCCTCTTGGCCCCTCCACACATTATTTTACTTGTCTGAAATTTGCAGTATTTGTGTTTGTAAGCACATCACTCAGGCTGTAGGTTTTTGTTTAGCATTTGCTAGATTTTATTAAGACTGGTATGTTCTTATTAGACCCACATGGATAATCTAGTATAAAATCTTTAACTTAGCTACATTTGTGCAATACCTTTTACCACATAGAGAACACAATCACAAGTTCCAGGGATTAGAATGTGAGTATAATTGAACATAATTATTAAGACTACCACAATGGAAATAAAAAAATATATATATAATAAGTAAATTATCTATAGAGTTAGAGATTTATGAAGCTTAGGCATCTTCACAGATCACAAGGTCGACTTCCTAATTGTGTATATTAATCAACAGAAGAGCAGAAAGAAGTATTAACTTGTCCAAGGACACATAACTGGAATTAATCTATTCCTAAATCAGATATTCAGGTGTTAGTAGCAGCAACACAGTACCTATGTACTACTTTATGTTATAGACTGATAGGCAGAAATCAGACAAGACAGACAGCTGATCGTATAGGCAGACAGACAGAAAAACAAAGGGTGTATGGATGAATGAATGATAGATGAAGAGATAGATAATAGATTAGACAGAAAAGTAGAACAAAAGAGTGTGCATATCCACATACATATGCATAAAGCTTATTTACAGTTAGGAAAATGGAGGATTTGAGAGATTATGTGCTTTACTAAAATTCCACCTACTGTGACCTTCTTCAAGATCCAAACCCTTCTCCAATGGATTCCATGACTTGTGCCTTTTACCACTCCACTTTTAGATTTTCTACATGTGCAAGTAATGAAAAAGGCCTTTAAGGGGAAATGATAGTGAAAATGGAGAAAGAATATGTGAGATATAAAACCAAAAATAACAAAAGAATAAAAAAGATAAACAGAAACTCATAGACACACACAACAGTATGATGGTAAACAGAGAAGTGGGAGGTAGTAAAGGGGAAAGAGGGTCCATTATATCATGATGGAAGATTTGACTTTGGGTGGCAAACACACAATGCAATATACAGATGATGTATCATATAACTGTACACTTGAAACCCATATCATTTTATTAACCAATTCAAGCCCAATATATTTAATTTAAAAATGTACAAAAAAGAAAATCATTACCTTCAATAAAAATGCAAAGAAGATTTTGGTATTTTCATGATTACCCTTCTGGAGGCTAAAGACAAGTTCTTTCATCATCTAAATTGGCTATCCTTCACTGACAGCCACATATATGGTGAATGGATGCACTGACAATCTGCTCAATCAGAGTATTATCTATCCTAGATTTCTGCTCATCCTCTGAGGAAAAGCAACATGACATTTCATAAATGTTACTGTATATCTACTGAACAAAATGTATTTATATTTGAATGCTACATATTGAATATAGAAACTTACCATGTTCCTTGAGAGAAGAAAAAGGCAATCTTGAAATGTGAGTCTGAAATTAGAAATTCATCCCTGGAAGAATGTACAAATAATTTTGGAGAAACTGTCTCTCATGTACCAATCAAAAGTTTCCAATATCCTTGAAGCATGAAGAGATGGTGAAAAGGTCATGAACATGGAGCTAGGAAGCCTTGTTTTAAGTCTTTCATCTACCATGGGTTTTTTTCTGCATACTTGAACAAGTTATTTACCTACTGCTTAGCTAAGTCTACTTATTTGTAATATAGACATAATAAAATTATCTCTACTATATAATTTCCAGTATTGTGTCTGTGAATAGCAAATGAAGATGGGTCTATGAAAGCACTTAGTAAGGGGTTATTCTTTCAGAATGGAGAAATATAATTTTTATCATAAGGCATTTTAATTTACTGTCTTTAAAGAATTACTGCAAATAGTTGGAAGAAAGGCCAGTGAGTGGACTAAAAAAGGGTTAGCTTTCATTTGAATATGTGGTGACCAATCTGCCACTGCTCAGAATCCAGTCTCTTTTAAATAGTCTCGTGCAGAGTGATATTGGGATTTCAGAGGGGGAGTCAGGAGGAAATTGCTTAGGCATGCTGCTCTTGGGGGAACAAGTCCCCTGTGAGAGCCATTAGTTCTTACTTACCTAAGGAAGAAGCAAGTAAACCGCACACAGGGACATAGTTTGGTATGTTGAGTTTGGTATGTTGAATAGCACAAAGATGTATTTTCAGCAATTCATGTAATTCCCCTTACTCACTCCGTTTTTATTGTGTTCAACAGAGGACCCAAAAAACCTGGAATTTATTTATAAAAAATGTGTATTTATTTTTACTTGTTCAAACTTCAGTGACCTTCCAAGCACTCTCCATCTGATGCAATACACCTATTGAGACATTTTTTCCACTGCTCAAAGCAGTTTTTGAACTCATTAATTTGGATGACTTTTAGTACTTCTGCCATTTTTTGTTTCACCTCTTCCAAAACATTTCCCTTTGGTAACTTTTTTCATCCGAGGAAACAAAAAAGTGTCACTTGCGGGGAGATTGGATGAATAGGGATGGCGGGGCCATGGGGGTTGATGCCATTTTGGGTCAAAAACTGCTGAACACCCAGCAGGGTGTGGGCAGGTGCACTCATAAATCATTCATCATAAAATGGGCAAATACATTGAAAGAGTCAAAAAAATTTCACTGAAGCCGAACATAGCCTCTCACAACAATGCCAGTTGGTACACTGATCCACATAGGTTCCTGGAACTCACCTAGTGGGGGAAACCTGTACTACAGGGGGCCCGCCCTCCAGAAGATAATTCTGGTGTTTTGGGGTCTCCCCTCATAATATACATAGATGAGCAGCATATCTAATTTATTTAATTTATGGTAATTATTAATATTTGAAAAATGTTAAAATTTATTTTGTTTTCATAGACAAAACATTTCCTTTTTTCTCTCTATGCTTTTACTTAGTCTAGCCAAATACTAGATGACTAGAACTGTTTGGAGATTTAGAAATAATATCTTTATTTTCCTTTCTGCATTTGCAGTGAATACACAGATATGACATAGGAGTTAGAAGGATGGAGATTAAATTAGCTTTAATACTGACAAGTTAACTAAGAAGTTTGAGTCAGATATTAAACAGATGGGCTTCTTTCTATCATGAATTATTGCCCTGTAACATAGGCTGTTGGTGCCCTATTTACAAACCCATGGCAATCATTTTCCCTGGGTAGGCAAATAATTATGAAAAAAAGTTTCAACTCTTGGAATGAGCATTTATTTTTTTGCAAGAATATTTTTTAATCAATGGACAGACAATGCACTTTCTCAGGTGGCAGTCATCAGTAAATGACAGATAGCAATAGAGTAATATATACACCAGATTCCTCAACTGTCAGGTAGTATAAGTCTCAGGTGTGTTTATACAGTGCTCACATGATTCTTAGTATAATTAAACTCAGTTGTCCACATATATAACATATTCACTAATGAAAGCCTGAATTGACTTCCTTCCCTGACCATCTTTATGATTACTCTTTTAGTGCTTTCTGCTATTAATTCCCAAATGCACTACTTGAAATG